GAACATTTGTCGCATATTTTCACACCTTCTTGTTCTTGAATATGCTGGCAAAATTACGCACCGATTCGCACTACAGGAGCTGTAAAAATCGCGAACAACGTAGCAAAATCGTAATTTTTTCAGCGTTCATCCTATTCACGGCCGCTGTAGTGTAGTGGTAAGTTGTGCGCGCTTCCACTATGCAGGGCCTGGGCCCAAGCCGTGGTCAAAGCAACGTCGCAAAAAATCTAGATAAAAAGGTTTCTTCTTAACAACGGCAGACAATGGCAAAACTCCGAGTGTATTTCTGCCGTTCGGAGTCGCTGTAAAACTATTTAGGTCCCTCCCCTTTGTGTGACAACATCAAGGCGTACGCCACAAATCTGGGGAAAAGCTGGGCCAAACACTAACAAATGTGTAAGCGCCATTCTACTATTTTATTAATACAGGCATTTTCTCCCCTTTTCTTTCAAATTGATCATTCTTCAATATGAAATCAAAAAGAAAATTCTCCGATGCCCAAAATCCAGATATAAGTTCAGATCTGAGAAAAAGAGTGTGCCTATTCAAGTGAAGCGGGCTGTATGCATAAGTGAACATTAAATAATTGATGAAACTCAGCGTCAATTTTAGTTGTGTCCCTTTTTCTTTTAGTTCCTAGTCGAGTTCTCTGTCCATTTTCGCATTTCAGGCGCCATTAGCATACTAATTTTTCGCTTAACACCGCGCATGCTCATACAAATCTGCAACATACATATTTACTCCATAATTGTGGTCATACATTTTAAAATACGTAAAAAAAGATAGTATTTGATTATAAAAGATATTCTACCTTCACTTTACAGCTCACACACTCCATCAGAATCCGAATCGGAAATCTCTGGCAAAGATCAATTCGAGATCATTAGTTCGAGTGAAGTGCAAAATGTTAATTAATAAAAAAAAAAAAAATATATATTAAAACTTTAATGCAATTTACATTTTTACCTATAGACAAAAAATATACACTATTAAGCTGATAAACAAAATATTGAATGAGTTCTTTTGTTTAGTTTGGCCACAAATGCAGGCAAAAAAAAAATTCCTTAATACTTATTTTGCATGAATTATTCGTAATTTTGGAAACTTTAAATATTATTACAACTGCTCTGGACTACGAAATCGCAGTACAGACCGCCATACTCTCTTCTCGATCATGGAGGGGAAACAAACAATGCTCGTCCTTTCAAAAATCGTGACAATTATTATTAAATCCGTTGTAGCCATTAAAATTAAACTTTTCGCCGGAGAAAATCACTATTTTCTAGTTGTCATTCCAGACATGCGAGTTGCACAAAATTCCAGTTATGATTCTTAACGTCGTATTGTAAAGTTGATGCCTTTTTTGACATTTTCTGAACACAAGTGCGCAGAGTAATCCGTAGTTCCCTTGTGGTGCCATCAACACCAACGGTTTTCTTTCATTTCGGTCCACTATCTCGACAATAAAATGCTGCCCCCGTAAAGGACTTTTGTTGTTTCCGTCTGGTTGTTGTGTTCTGGCTACATTTCATGCTTTTTTCATGCAATGCTGTGAGCATGAAGCCCTCCATTTATGCATTTTTTATAGTTGAAAGTGCACCGGCTTAGCCCACTACTGCACTGTTATATGTCTAATTATTCTCTAAATTCTTAAAAAAGTTTTAAGTGTAAGTTTAATAACTTTGCTATACACATAAGGAGGCTACGCATCCTTGTACCTATTCAAGTGAATCAAAATAATAACCAAAATTTGTGTGTAGTTTGATAAAGAGTCGAATAAAATCCAAAGTAATCAAGGTGTTTTCTTCATTTTCATCACTTTTCTTCGAAATTAATCATTCTTCAAAACGGGATCAAACAGAAACTTCTCTGATGCCCACAAGTCCCGATATAAGCTGGGGTCTTAAGGAAAATATGTGTACCTATTCAAGTGAAGCGGGCTGTACATATGTTTGTATGTATTAACATGCACTATGGAAAAGTTTAAATACAAAGTGAATACGAAATGATACAACACAAGCACGAAAATATATTCAAATTAAAAGTAGGTAAGTGAAGTTGCGGCCACCGTGGTCGTGTGTTTAAGAGGTGCGCACTGCCGCCCGGTAGATACCAAGTTTGGTTCCTGCTCACAGCAACTTTCTAAACGTTATATTCTAATAGCGGTCGCCGGAAAAATTTGGCGAATGTGCAACATTGTAATAACGTATTTTTTGCCCGTGGGCAACATCCCTAAAATATAAATTTATACTATGAACAGCAGCTATAGTTAAGTGCCATAAATTCGAAGATAACTAATAGAATTTTGAAGTACCTGCAATCAAGACTTGAGTGTAAATAAGCTGAAGAAACAGTTGAAAAAAAGAAATAAATTATATCAATCAAAATATCCGCGGCAACCACAATATGTCAACTATGGCTGCCAGCTTTGAGTGGATACTCCATCAACGCCACTGGTAAGTTCCGTTGCCATCCGTAAGCAACCCATTATTCTGTTTTCTGAGCAGTATTTTAAAGAAAATGTATCCTCTCGGCTATTGGCACCGATAGATGATTTCTATTCAATTAATTCGGCCGTATTTGGTGTTATGTAGCATGTCTTCCAGTGTTGCTTTTAAGCATTTCGATAATTTGTATTCTGTTTGTTGTTGTAGCGGCGACTTAGCCCTGCCTAAATAGGCTTGTCCATCAATCGTTGTCGTCAAGCTCAGCTAACGGTTCACCCAGGAAGGGTGCCACCCCAACTTGGTTGGTCCATAGAGAGAGAGAGAGAGAGGCGTTAGGTGAGTGGTGTTTAGAAGCATGCGAAGAGGGGTTGCGAGTCATAAGATGATTATCCGCATGCCGGACACTCATTTGGCACATCTGCATTTATCCTACTCGATTGGAGTTTAGTTGTATGCTGGTGCTGATTTGTGATTTACTTGGTTTAGCATTAATCAACAATTTTATTTAGCTTGAGGCTGTTTCTAATGAAAAAGGTTGTGGAAAAACAACAATAATTAACAATGGTAGAAGTTGTAAACTGTTGTTGCTTTTTCCACATTTTCATTTGTTCAACCCAACTACAATCAAGTGCAACGATTTTGTTGCTATTTAGACTTGATCATGTGGTTGTTGTTTGTTGTTGGTTTTTGTTAATATTCTATTGTTAGAATGTTTATCTTTATGGTGTGCTCATCCTTAAATTATTTGTTATTTATGGCCTTATAACAATTCTTATATTGTGTTTCTCTTAATCAATTGACATCAAGCGTAACTATAGACAGTTTTAAACGGCAAGATCTCCTGCTAGAATAGGATGACTTTCATCAGTACTTTTGCATTTTTAACCGACTTCACAAAAAGGAGGAGGTTATCAGTTCGTCGGATTTTTTTTTTTTAATGTACATATACATACCGCATAATTTTGGACCACGTTAACCGATTTCTATAATTCTTTTTGTATGGGAAAGATGTTGGCTCACAGGTGGTCCCATACTAATTTGGTTTAAATCCGATGGATCATGAAAAAATTAACGATAATCTAAAATTTTTATATGAGAATTGAAGTCTTTTTTTTTTTTTTGCTTAAAAATTACTTGTAACATATGCGGTATATGCGTTCCTCAGAAAGCCGCATACAAAAAATCCGCACAGCCAGGGCATTTTCGAAAACCGCATAAATTCAGATAAAGAATTCTAAAAAAAAAAAAACCGCATAAAAAATCCAGTGACGCAATATTATGAAGAAAAAAACAATTTATTTCTTCACTTTAACACTTATTATTCCATGTAAAACTGAACATTAATAAAAAAATAAAATTTTATCTGTATTTTAACCAAAAACAAAACACAGTAAATGCATGAATTATGTAAGAATACAAATACAAATTATTTATCAGAGGCACTGTCTTTCGCTTCAGCGAAAAAATTGTTTGAAAAACCGATTGTTTGTTACGACTGCGAATCGTTTGAACCAATTTTTTTTCGGAAGCTGGCACAAAAAAAGTTTAAATAATAAAGAAAATTAGTTAAGAAGTTTGAGAGACTAAATACGAAATGATGCTGGGGAGCTCGAGCTTCAAAGAATTTTTTAAGCTCGATTTTTAAGCTTCATCTGAAAGAAGCCAATTCTGCGAGTATTTTTTTTTTTTGAAGAATATGCATACTTTGTGGTAGATATACATATTACAAAATAGCCAAGAGATGGAAATGGGTCTACAACATTCGGAGAAACCGAAGCTGTTCATCTTGCACAACAGAAGGCAGAACTAAGCTGTTACATATGTTTGACTTGAAATTTGATTGAAATTAAGGGCCTACAGTTTAAAAACGCTTCCGATTAGAAGATTGGATATTATGAGAACAATTTTTATGGCAGAAGACACGTTTGCCATTGCCTGCCGGGCGTGAAAGCTGTTAGATTAACATTTTCTGCTTTTTTTCAGGAATCGAAATGAGGGTTAGTATGCAATTTAGACCACCACGTAAAACGCTTTAAACAAGTTTAGTTTTCAAAAATGATAAGCAAAAGCATTTTAGACAAAAATTAAAAATAATATATGAAGGCAAATGATTGGGGTTGTATTAGTGAGAAAATTACAAATCAATAAGGTTATTTTTCAAAACTAGGCTTACAAAGTTAATTAGCGTCAAAATAAATTCCACTTAACCAGTTCAAAATTAAGTAATCCTCCGTAACCGTTTTTCACAAGTTCATATATTTGCCATTATTTATTTATGATTAATAAATATAAATTTTATAAATAAAGTAAAATTCTAAAACGATTATAAAATTTGGTCATCAAAGAAATAAAATTAATAAAATATGCGCGTGCGCATAAATGCAAACTACAAATTAGATTCGAGCAAATTAACAGCATGCAACTAAAAAATATGTATTATTTATAATGCTATGATTATAAGAGATTTAAAAGGATACTAAGATGTACTAGGAAGAGAGCATGATTTGCATAAACATACAAACATAAATATATATGTATGTATGCCAAATATAAATGGCAGGCCTCAAGTAAATGCGCACACAAAAAAAATCGCACAAACTCAACGTGCCGCCAAAAAAAAACTAGATCTCACCCTTTAGCGTCCGACACTGCGGCCACTTCGCTATTGTCACCGCCACTGCCGACACTGCTCTGCGACTCATTTTCAGCGGCTACTGAGTTGGCACTAGCCACCGATTGTGCGACATTGCGACGCCGCAATTCGATCTCAGCATCATGCTCCTTCACCTCTTCAATCTTTTCCGGTTCCAGTGGTATCGCTTCGGGGGCAGTGTCATCCTCTGCATCGCTGTCCTTGTCCTTCTTCTTAGACTTCGATTTGGAACGCTTTTCGGCGCTTTTCGATTTTTCATCTTCGGTCACATATTTGGTCTGTATTGCAAAGATTTTGTAATAAAATTTAATACGCTCAAAAACTCCTAAAAGAACTTACCTCGTAGAGTGGCCAAAATGAGGCAAAGAATCCCACATCCTCGGTCAAATTCGGCAGCAGCCAGAAATGCACTTTTCCATAAGTCAATGCCCAAACAATTGTGAAGATGATGAGGCGTATCACCGTCAGCGCTAATATAACTACAAGGAATCCAGCGGCCGCTACTGAAAGGTAGTAGACTCCTTTGCGCAATAGCGGTGGCCATAGCGGGAACAGGCAAATCACAATAGCGCCCAATAGCAATATCAGGCCATAGATCCAATAGTGTAATGGGATGGGGTCGAAAATCCAAACATATGCCTCAGAGCCGTCCACAAATACCTGTTCATGATGCATATCCAGCCGGATCTTACGCTTGCGTTTCTCCTTCTTCTCGCCGCCGTTGCCAGCACCGGCGCTGTTATTGCCATCACCAGCGCCATTGCCACCGCTTGCTTCACCCTCAGCTTCAGTATCTTTCTTCTCTTCCTTTTCTTTTTTACCAATGCTCTTATGCTCTTTTTCATCAGCTTTGTTTTTCGTTGTTTTGCTACCGGCAGCGCTGCCAGCACCACGCATTTCATCCAGGGAGACAGGCACTTTTTTGGCGCGATGGAAAAATTTATGCTCCAACATGGCATCCAAAAATTCAATGGCCTGTTCACGTGTGGTAAAAAGTGCATCATCGCCGGTGGCGAACTTTGACTTCATCAATGCATCAATGGCCTTATTCGAGGAGAAATACTCCACATTGTGGCTGAGAAATTTGGTTTTCTTTGTTTTTACGTTCTTTTTCATCCATTTGGCGACCTTGTATTCGTCTTTGGTCGGCTTTTCTACCTCCTGTTCGCCAGGGCCTGTGTACTCCTATGGATGGGAGGGGAAATAAGGGAATTGAATGTAGTTAGTTAATGATTAAGTGTTATAAATTTAAACCAACGCGTTTCTTAGCACAGAGTTTCAATGCTTGAGGTTATATGGATTTTAACTGTAAACATTCACTTAACACAAAAACGCAAGAATTAAGTAAATTGAAAAGAAAAAATTATATAAAATTATAAGCAATCAAAGTAAAACCGCAATGTGATGCCAAATGAAAAGTAATTCCGCATTAAGGAGGTGGGTCAGAGAAAATAAAAATGCAATGGAATAAAATTAAATTAAAT